TCTGTGACGTATGTGCAGTGCGTGTGCAGTCTGTGACGTATGTGCAGTGCGTGAGCAGTCTGTGACGTATGTGCAGTGCGTGAGCAGTCTGTGACATATGTGCAGTGCATGTCCAGTCTATCCATGAAAATTAGGTCAACTTAAAGAAGTGGTCACTGTCGGGAGGTGGACACTGTATGGAGGTTCTATTGTATTTATTTAAATATCTATCTATATCTAAACATTATACAAACCAACAGGATTGAAACTAAGAGGCTGATGCTACCAACACATTTCCTTGACCCGTATCTGCAGCAAGGCCTTTGCTTTTCTCGCTGCACTCCCACAAGGTAGTTTCCCTGCTCTGAGGGAGTTTTCCTCATCTCCTCCTTGCTCTCAATCCCATAAAACCACCCCACATCTCATTCTCTTATCACTACAATCCACAATGTGAAAGGGGGCAGAAAAACAAATGGATTCTACCATTTATAGACATATGGGGAGACTTGGAGATTCAATTCAAAAACTGAAGTTGTTTAAGAAAAAAAAATCTAGTTTGATTAACTCACCTTTCCAGCTACAAATGGCATATCGCCCAAGCATAATCTATAATGCGGCTGTGCACCAAAACAGTTCCTAGGACTCTTCTGAACAAAAAGGAAAATAATTTTCTTTTATTCATAAGATAGCAATAAATCATACATGTTTATGTAATATAGCATAATACTAGTTTCGTATGGTGTTCTGCAGTTCTATGATGTGTACATATATTTTATGTGTGTATTTTTTTCTTACTATCCTAGTATAAATTTAGCAGTAGTTATTACTTATCCTCACCTTCCAAATGAAGAAGCTGAGGATGAAAGACATTTACTCTCATGGCACCACATGGTTTGAGTGTTTTCACATAAATTTTACCTAACAATCTGTATTTTGCCAGATTGGCTCTGTTTTCATACCTTTTCTGGTGATTTTGTCTTCTTTTTTTTAATTCTTCTCACACTGGGAACATACGGAGTTGACTTATCATCAAAGATAAGTTTATTTGTTTCTAGACCAGTCTGCAACTAAGAAAAATATGAGACCCTAAAAGTTAATGCTACAGAAATAAAAGCTATGACTCAAATTTGAGATATGCTATGTGAAAGCCTATAAAACCAACAGCAGATATCTGAAGCATATCTCAAAAACACATCATGGCTGTGTAAATATGTCTTCAACCAATGCATTAGCATTTGTCAGATATTTTAAATCAATGCCAGTCTCTCATTGTATTTTGAACACCTGTGTTATAATTTAGCCTATACATTAGCTCCATGTATCTGGAGTTGTTCCATAAATTCTTTCTAATGAGTTAAATGCAATATATATAACTCATCTGAACTGATGCTTCAATACTTTTTCTTTTTAAAACCAGCAGCTATCACAATGCTAGACACAAAATAGCTGACAAGCTCCCTCTTTTACACTTACGATAAAAATAAAAATTTATGTCTAAAAAAAGCTGAAAGATATTTCAGCCAATGTTACCAAGCCTTGTTCTCTAAAAACTCAGTATCCACCTTCATTTATAAGTAATATCCAAAGACGGCTGACTGTACAATGGTTGCCAGATTGACTCAGAAAGGAAAAGTTTCTGGAAAGGTTTCTGGAAGAAACACAGACTGGATGCAGTCACGAGGGACAAGCGCCCAAAACCGACTAGAGAGTCCATGGGAAGAAGCTGTGAGGCGGAAAGCAGAGGAAGATACTGGCTGGAGCCCGGCGGGAAGAGTAGGTGAGGACTCTGTCTCTCCTTCCCTCACATCTCTGCAAGTCAGCAGGCTACTGAGTTACTAGAGAGCTTTCCTACACTTAGAAGCCCCCAAAGCTGATGCCACTAGTGAACTGTGAGCTTCTTAAGGAAAAAGCAGCAGGTTGCTGGTCTCCTGAGGGTCACTTCCTGTCACCATAGCCCTGAGCTGGGACGGCAGGCACCATACTGCCTACCAGCCACTATGTGCCTTTGTCCTCCTCCAGAGGGCTTCAGCTTCTGTTTTTTTGTTCATTCCCACACAAGTATTTCCCAATTCTAGCCCAGACTGTGGCAGCCACGGGAGCCAGTGGGTTCTGGGCAATCTGTGTGAGACAAGTGTGCTTTCCAGATAGAGGGATAGAGACTAACAGAGTGATAGCTCCTCCACTCAGACTCTTTTCCTCCCCCTCCCCTGCTGCTGAGAGGCACCAGTGCCCCAGGAAGAACTGAACCTGGATTCTCAGTGGACCCTCTGTTGGTGCACCCTCCACACTAAGGTTTCCACAGAGAGAGAGTGGCTCAAGAGAGAGGCTTTAAGACCTACAGCAGACCAAGGGATGCTTGGATTGTGAGCTCCCCGACTGTTGGCTTCCCTGATGCTACTCGAGTGGCTCCTCCAGAAGAGCAGGGTACAGCAAACTTGCCCCCATAGGCAACTCAGGACCACAGTGTTTCTCCCTGGAATGTTCCAAGACTGAACTTGAGGAACCTGGAGATCAGATCCCATCTGCCCAGGACTTGATCATAATGAGTACAGATGGGAGATGTCTGAACTAACTTTGGGAGGTGAGGGAGCCAAAATGGGAAGAACTGAAAGGAGAATGCAGTGTAGATCCAAGCTGCAGAACACTCATGAAACACTGCTACCCCTACAAGATGGCCATGCTCTCTGTCTGGACAGGATCCTGAGAGGGAAGCTCCTAGCCTGAAGTACCACTGCTGGTGAGCTAAGCCAGTTTGAGCATTTGCCTATGGCCAGATAAAGGAAGCGGACTTTAGGGAAGGAGAAAAGTGACAAGAGTAAAATCCACTTTTGATAGCCAGACTGTGGATCTCAGACTGCCCCTCCCTCAAGAGGTGACTTTCTAGCTTGGCAGTGGCACTTAAGCCACACCCTGGTGAATTTCTCCAGCTAGCTGGGAGTGGACCCTCCATCAATGCCAAGACAGTTCATCTGCTTGTCTTTGTGGAATGTAACAGCACCTCCAAACCTCTCTCCTCCACTGGCATCTACAGTGGTAGAGAATGAGTCCCCTGGGAGCTCCAGGGTCTGGCCCAATGCCTGGCACTGGCGTGCTTCTACTGAGGGGCTAGGCTACAGAAAACAATACTGCAGCTTGCTCTTTACAGAAAGCACCACCTTCTGGCAGAGGGGTCACTTGTACAGCCCTTTACAGCATTTACTGATTCAATCATACAGGGTATTGTTAAGAAGAACAGAGGGTTGGGGAAAGAGAAAGGATTTCAAAGACCTCTACCTTCTCATCATCAAGAGACATGGAATATGAACACAAACATAGTATACCACTGCTACAGCCTACAGATAACTAGCAAGTCAAAAAACCACCACACTAAGGATATATATATGTAACCAAAGCATCCATCCAGAACCCAGACCTCATTAAAGCACCCATAAGCAAAATCAAAGGTTCTTACCCAATATATGCGACAGATAAAACAAGAAGCAGATGAGAAGGAGGAAAAAGCACGCAAAATCAGGAAGTATGAAAAATCAGGGGGAAAAGACCCCCCTAAAAGAGCATAAAAGTATTCTAGCAATGGACCACAACCAAAATGAAAATACTAAAATGACAGATAAAGAATTTCAAATATAGATTATAAGAAAGCTCAATGAAATCCAAGAGTAAATGGAAAAACAAATCAAAGAATCCAGAGAAACAATTCAAGAAATGAAGAACTACATACTTAAAAAAAACTTTAAGAATAAACTAGACAAGACAGAAGAAACAATTTCAGAGCTCAAATATAACCCTTCAGGATTAGTTCAGTCAGTCAAAAATAAAGAACAAAGAATTAAGGACAAAGTCTATGAAAAATAGGGGATTATGTAAAACTAGTAAATGTTAAGAATCATAGGCATCTGAAAAATCACAAGGTCTGGAAAATGTATTTGAGAGAATGATTGAGGAAAACTTCCCTGGTCTTGGCAGAGATTGGGACATCCAGGTATAAGAAGCTCTACAAACATGTAGGAGATTCACTGCAAAGAGGCAATCATTAAAGACACATAGTCATCATTAGACTGGACAAAGTCAAATGAATGAAGAACCTGAGAGCCATGATATGAAAACATGGAGTAACAAAGAAAAACCCATGAGAGCAACTAAACAGTTCTCAGTGGAGACCTTATGAGCCAGAAGAGAATGAGGTCCCATTTTCAGTGTTGTTATATGAAACAACTGCCAGCTTAGCATTCTGTATCCTAAAAAACTAAGTTTTATATATGAAGGAAAAACAAAGACTTTTCCAGATAAGCAAACACTAAAGGAATTCATCACAACCAAACCTGCCCTGTATAAAGTGCTCAGAATTACATTACACATGGATCAGCACAGTGTAAAATCATCCCAAAGCTAAAGTACACAGCCATATAAAACAGCACAAGAAGAAAATAAATCAATAAGGTACTACTTAACATGATGAACAGAACAGCATCTCACATAAAAATTCTATCACATAATATTAAGGATCTGAATATCAAACTCAAAAGACACAGACTGGCTGAGTGGATTAAAAAAACATAACCTAAGTATCTACTCTCTCTAGGAAACACATCTAACCCACAAGGACTCACACCCTCATGGTGAAAGGATGTAAATATATGTAAGGAAACGTATGAAAGGATGGAAACAAATGAAAATATGCAAATGAAAAGCAAAAGAGAGAGAGGGAGGAGCAAGATGGTGGCTGAGTAATAGCTTCCTTGCAACTGGGCACCGTGAGATGGGGGAGAGAAGACTCCAGGAATCTCTGGCTGGTGGGATCTACCCAGAAACTTCCCCTTGGGGACACAGGGAATCAACCAGAGACTTCTGGACCCCACGAGAAGGACAAAAGCAGTGGAGAACTGGCAAGTGGTTGCATGTGTCCATTCGGTCTAATCCTGCTGGCAGCTGTAAGTACAGCAGCAGTGAGACTGCCAACTGGAAAGGCCTTACCTGTGAGCTGTTTTGGATTTTTTTTGGACTTGGCACTCAGTTGATCTATCTTGGGAGAATTTGGGCAAGAGTGTGGAGGACTTTAAGCATTGTCTAGGGCCCCAGACTGAGCTGCTGAGCCAGACGGAACTAACAGTGTTTGGAGATGGGCAGTGCGGAGCCATGGTGGAAGAACTGCCCCGGCAAGCTCGGCTCTCAGGTTACAAAGCCAAGGATGGGGTGGGAGACCTTGGTGAGTAATCTAGCAACTGAGCAGCCTCAAGAGGCGGACTGAGATGCTTTACAGCCCTGGCCCTCAGGGACACAGTGAGACTGGCTTTGGCACATTGGGTAAGTAGACAGCCACTTCAGGAGTGATCCCAGGAACAAATGCTTTCCTGAGAAAGCTTCTACTTAGCCAAAGTTAGCAGGCTAAAATCTCTCCTTTTACACGGGCTGAGAAGTGATTTATGCTCTCCACTCTGCGGGGTTTGAGAAATCAGCCGAGGCCTCCAGTCTCCATCTTGTATAGCCATGTCAGCACTGTGACTAGCATCTCATACCCCAGAAGATCATCTGTTGCCCAGACAATATTCAGGAAGATATATATATTGCTTTGTTTTTGGTTATTTTTTTTTAAATTTTAACATTTCCCCTCTAGATATTTCCTTTTTTTTTCCTTTCTTCATATTTCTAGTTTAAATATAACTTTCCCTTGTTGCCTTCTTTAACAATTAGAACTTCATTTTTGCTAGTGTTTCTACCCTTATTATTTGGTTTCCCCCCCAATTTTATCCCGTGAAGTTTTGTCTGCTTGTTTTGGTTTGATTTATAGCATTTTTGTCTTTACTCTCAACTTGGTGGAGGTGGGGTACTGTGTCCATACAGGCTAGCAAAGAACTGCTGACCTCAAGGGAACCACTCAACCGAGCACCCCAGAGGTTGGGGAATCAAGTACCCTACTATACACCTATATTGCTCCTGTCTCCTTCTTTCTGTGCCTCTCCTCTTTTTGTCAATATTCCCTTTTACTCACCCCCTCTCCTTTCTCTTTATCCTTTTCTTTTTTCCCTTATTGCTCTTCAATCTTCTCATCCTTTTGGTCTGGTACTAA